ATTGTTTTAAGCCGTACCTTTCGATTGTGTCTGTTACTATTCCTATAATTTTTCTCACATGTCGATGTAGTTATGTACCTAATAAATTTGTCAATAATAAGGATTATTTTGTTAGAAAGTACGTGTGCTTGCAAAAAAAGTATGGTGGAAAGGTTCCTAATACTTATAAATTTATTAATTATCATATTAAATTTGCAAGTGAGAAAATTTATAAAACTAAATTTATACTTTTGCTAAATGTAAGTAAGAATTACTAAACTTTCATTAAAGGATAAAAAGGGGGGTAAGTGTATATTTTTAATAGTGCAGGGGTCTAGGTGATAATACGCGAAACCTCGAGGGAGGTAAATGATAATTTCCCTATATTTTAATCCATCGATGTGGAATGATATATTTTTACATTGACAACACTTAAAAGAACAAGTAACTTGAAAATGCTACTTGTACACACCGGCTTACACGGTCGTTTGTACGCCAAATGTATTTTGTCTGTGTACAAACAATGGATTTTCATTTTAGTAATTGGTTTTGTCTCTAACCTGAAAAAGTGAATTGCATGTATAGGAATTGCGAAAAATTAATTCGAATTCCTTAATTAACTAGGAGCCGATTCTGAATTGATACAAACATATTCATTACAATTTGGATCATGGTATAAGAGTGAATAAGAATGAATATAATCAACTACGTAATAATTAAATAAGAATGAATATAATCAACTACATTAGACAAAATCAACAACGCACCCGTCATAACGTGATAATAATATTGTAATAAGATGAACTTTTGGAGATATAAGTGCATGTATCACTGTAAATTGAAAGTGATAGGATATGATGTTGGGATTTAATCTCTCATAGTCCTGAAGTATATAAACCATTCCTCAAAATCGTTAGAAGGGAATTCTAGATTTTGATCAACCTTCCAAAACCACTAGAAAGAAAATTAAGATTTGATGACGGTCAGTTTCGTGTTGAATCCCAACAACGAATCAATGAAATTAAGTAAAATCATGGGGAGCAATTAAGATTTCTCTCAATAATATTGAGCCGCACCATATCTGACAACCTGGGCACCTACACTAAGAAGCTGTTCTCTTCGCCTGATCTGAATGTTTCTGATCTGAATTTTTTAAGTTCTGATCTGATCTGATCTGAATTTTTCTGATCTGATCTGATCTGATCTGAATCTTTCTGATCTGATCTGATCTGATCTGAATCTTTCTGATCTGATCTGATCTGATCTGAATCTTTCTGATCTGATCTGAATGTTTCTGATCTGGTCTGATCTGATCTGAATGTTTCTGATCTGATCTGAATCCTTCTGATCTGATCTGAATCTTTCTGATCTGATCTGATTCGAATATTTCTATGATTATAATTATAATTATAATTATAATATTATTATTATAATTGCAATTACAAATATAATTTAAATAAAATTATAATTATAATTGTAATTATAATTACAATATTTATCTCTATAATTGTAATATAGTTATCAATATTATTATAATTACTCCGTAAAATAATTACAATAGTAATAATAATAATAATAATAATAATAATAATTATAATAAAAATAATAATTATAATCATAAATTATAATTATAATATAATTATAAGTATAATTATAATTATTATAATTATAATTATATTAACATTAATTATAATATTATAATATAATAATAGTAATATAAATACAATTAATATTATTATAACGATATTATTATATTAATATTATTATTACAATATTATAATAATAATAATATGATTATTATTATAATTAGTATTATATTATTATAATATTATATTATAATCATAATTATAATTATAATTATAATTATAATTATAATTAATTACAATTATAAATATAATTAATTATAGATATAATTTTTATAATTACAATTGATTATACTTATAATTATAAGAATTATAATTGTAATTATAATTATAATTACATATAATTATAATATAATATTATAATAATATTAATCATATTATTATTATTATTATAATGTTGTAATAATAATAGTCTTCTTAACAATTGCATTTATATTACTATTATTATATTAAAAAATTATAACTATTATTAATATCTTTTTTTATCATATTATTATTAATATTATTAATAATGATTATATAATAATAATCATAATAGTAATAACAATAATAATAATAATAATTAATATTTAATATAATAATAAAAGTGATAAATCATGTTTGAACTTTTCTGATCTGATCTGATCTGATCTGAATGTTTCTGATCTGATCTGAATGCTTCTGATCTGGTCTGATCTGATCTGAATCTTTCTGATCTGATCTGATCTGATCTGAATCTTTCTGATCTGATCTGATCTGATCTGAATTTTTCTGATCTGATCTGATCTGATCTGAATTTTTCTGATCTGATCTGATCTGATCTGAATTTTTCTGATCTGATCTGATCTGATCTGAATAAAATAAGAATAAGCAAATAAGAATAAGACGAACAGAACAGCACCTAAATACACTTTTACTATCTAAGCCGTTATCACACGCTTCGTAAACCCTGGATTATCTTTGATTTAAAAGTTGTAAGCTTCAAATCTCAATTGATAATATGGTGGCCAGCCAAAGAATATGACAAATTTGTACACTTCAGCCATAAAGTCAACTAATCTTTCATATCGAATTCTTCTCAACCACCGAGAACAACGTTTGGGACAGTCAATATCATGAGGTCCAAGTAAGTATGATTCGTCCGCTAAATGAGTTGAGAACAAGAGGGTGATGTTCTATTGACTTGATGAGTTATACCGTTTATTACATGATAAGGATTCACGCAAGGATGTATTCATCCCACATCTTTATCTCATATTTTTCTTTTGTCCCATTAAAGTTGTGACATATTGTATATATTTTGTAATATTTATATAGTAACGATCTATTCTAACTCTATTTTTACTATACTAAACTAATGTAATATCAATGACATAAATATTAGTTAATTATTGTTTGAAACAAAGCTAATTTTTTATTGATGTCACTCGTATGAGTGGGCTAAATTTTGAAATGATGCGAGTAGTTTATATTTGATAGGAAAGAATAAAATTAATTTTTAAAGAAAACATTAAACACACCTAAAGATCACCCCTTCCCAAATTGATTTGTGGTCTTGTGATTGAGTGATAAAAAGATAAATAAGCATTAGCTACACAAAACTTCCCAAAAATGAAAAAATGGGAAGAATTTTTTGGACATCTCACAATTGTAAATGAGAGGAATTTTATGCGACCGAAGGAGTATAACGCAAGAAAAGCCACATAAAAAAAAGCCTATGTACCCTTATATTATGTCATTAGATAAATTATTTTTTTATTGTTATTGGCGTAACGCCCCGTCATCCCTATTGCACTCCCTAGCTTCTTGGGCATCCATCATCCATGTACTTCATTTATAGTACACGAAGCAAGTTCTTCAGAATATAATTTCACAATTCGATCATCATATCCCGAAACAGGTTAAACAACTTGGCGTATCACAAATAAGCTAATAATATTGAACAAACAATAATCGAACATTATTTTGATACTATTACAAGACTTGAAGTTCAATTGTAAATAGTTAACTTGATATAATTAAGGAGTTCAAGATTTCAAATGTTGATTTAAGATCTTATACTAGCCGTAATATGTGAGATAAATACTGCATACATTGTTTTATCCTCAAAATCGGAGGATTACTTAACTGATGCACTACAAACCCCAACATAAACTTGTTTATTTCAAGCAAAGATGATTTTCTTTCTTCCCTTTTCCAAATAATAATACGAACAGTACCACACAACACCTTACAACGTACATATCATGTCTCAATACATACTTCCTTTGTACTTTGTCAACTTTTCGTTTTCTGTTTGTCTCAATTCCTAAAATTTCACTATTTTCCCTCTATAATAAATCAATTATAGTTTTGCTTATTTCTTTCCATTGCAAAACGTGCACTCACACAATATTTACTGTTCTCATTTCCCACCCACCTGACACATTATTAACAATGTATTAACAATGTTCAACGGGGCGGAGGTAATATATAGGTAGTAATAACTGTAATATACTTAGTATATCTTGGTCTTTTGATCATGCATCTAACGTGATAAATTTTGTGATCAAGGACATTAATGTAAAATGAATACGTACAAACATACTATTCAAATGCCCTTTCTTAATTGGTAGAATATAACATACTCCGTATATAGCTAGCTGTGCATATCTTTGCGGTTCGAAGGTCGCCGTTTCGTATTTATTGCATCAGCTGGGGTTAATTTAAGCTCATTATATCGGCAACTTCATTCTTAATTTATTTTAGCTTCATGATTGCATGTTTAGCGGGCATACGTTAGCAAGTTCTTCCTTTTAATTGTACATTTGGTGCAACACGTTTTCTGTTTTAAAAGTTTAAGCCTTTTAATTTTAGATGTTACTCTTATTATAATCATGGATAAATTCAATATCACTACAAAAAACACCAAAAGTTAAGATCTGGGGTTCCATCCTAAAAGGTCAACCTGATTGGAGGAGTAGCTCGGATCTTAATATAGTGTTTAATTCTTTCAGAGATATCCGGTGTGAGACTTTAAAACCAAAATTTGTACGGGTTTTTGGCATGTTTGTCAAAATTCATAGGGGATTTGACTCGGATTTGACATGAATACATCAAATTCGTGTTAAATTATGTGTCAATGTCGTTTCATCACCAAAAATATGTAATGATCCGTGTCAAACTGATCAATTAGTGCAATGTTCGTGTTAAACACAAGAATTGGTACGGGTTTTTGGCATGTTTGTCAAAAATATTGTTGTTTTTTGTAATGTATATTACGTTTGTTATTAACAAATTTATATTGCCACAGTAGTTCGTTATCAAATTAACATTTGTAGACTTGATGACCAAGGTGAGCCCATTACTATTTTAGCACTTCAACTAATCAATTAAAAGGGAAATGCGAGCTCTCACTCTCTTATCAACACATGCAAAGCTAGACAACAATAATTGAAGCTTCAAAGTTCAAAGTCGGTGAAATGTCTATTCATCCCTTTTAACTCTTTAAGGCAAGCAAATTTTTGGGTAAATAACAAATTAAATAAGAAGCAGAGAAGGGAAAAAAGATTGTGACATTAAAAAAGGAAAGTAGCTAAACCAAAAGATATTCCAACATTGAGTCACTTCCAAGTACCAACACAACAATAAACTTTGTTGTGATGTGACGTGCTATTCAATTCCCATTGCAGTTTTGGAGCAACGAACAGAGTTTCATGCAAGCTGTTTGATTTATGGCCATGGTGAGACACTATATTCAAACATCCAACACGGCTAAAAGAAAGTTCTTCAAGAGCTTGCTTGTTAATCGCGGCAGAGTCCAAACTCAACTATATAGACAACGAGAATGGTGGATCGTTCTGAGATTATATCGGAGTTGAATGTTTCATATGCAGTTAACATAAATGATAGTTAAAATTAGACTAACAATTTAACAAAGCCATATAGGAATATAAACTTGTTTTTTTACCGTTTTAGTCGAAAGGTTTCTGCACTAATTGCTGCCTCGAATGATCGAGACCCTTTGTCTTTCCTTTTTCACCCAAATTAATATCAAAATTTCTTATCTGAAAAGAATCGGCTATTGAGTAGACACTTGTAGCAGTAAAATAGGTTGTCTTTGTTCCACCTGAGTCATGCCACACAATGAGTGAGTTATACGCTATTTTTAAAGTTTGGGATCAAATAAGCATCAAATTTTCAAACATTTTAAGTTTAGATAGTACTGAATTTCCAGAAGTCATAATTTTTTACTCGTAATGAGTTACGAGAGACATAATATATAGACTTAAATTACCTTGTCATATTACTCCATAATATTTGAGAAAATGTGCTATATTTTGCTCCAATTTCCCGAACTTAAGCTTTTGTCAATTGATTTTTCTTTTTGATTCTACCAAACTACGAGGAAAAAACTAACTCCGATTACTCCGTATAACACTACCTTACTTTACTCTTACGTTTATGATCTTCTCTTATTTATATGTTTCTATCAAAGTATAGGTTTTGTCCAATGATAATTACAGCCCAGATGACACAAGATTTAATTTGTGGATGTTAGTAACTTAGTACTTTTATCTTTTTCGGCCCAAAAAGACTGTCGGGTTCTTTTAGTATATCAACATCTAAAGTTTGCAGTAATCAACTATTCCTAATATCGTAATACGTATAGAATCTTCTAATTTCTAAATAACGCTCTTAATCACTTTGACTCTTAACTACCATTCATGCCTGTCAACCATGACATTTTCGATCAACATTTAGTTTGACTAGATGTTTGATTAGCCACACCACTTGCTAATAAATGTTTATGATCTTTTCTTTAACGCCATATCATGAAAGATTTGCCTTGAGCATTTTGCTAAATAAATTTAAGAAAATAGCTAAAAGAACATTACTTGCGGCTCTCATAATTGAAATTAATTTAATTTAATTTTCAGCAGGTATATTTACGTAGCACGGAAACTCTCGGAAAATGCTACTACGTGTGTTTCTGTTTCTGAAACTCTTTAGAAACTTCCTCAACAAATTTAATTTGTGACGTTTCTCATTTCTCGTTTCCTTACGCTTTTCGCGTTTCTGTGCAACATAGATATATATTTAGTGTACCTTTTGGGAATTGAAGAGAGATGATGAAGATTGAAGCTCCAAATCCATTTGATCCATGATATGATCGCGTCTATGACTATAAGATAGAGCGTTCTTGATGGAGAGGCATAGCACGTGAAGAACAAACTCATATAACATTGAATATATGAAGCAATTCTCAAAGCATAGCTTATAATTATAATCAGCAAATTTAACTCCCTCGCAATAAAAATTTAAACATAAAAAGATGGACTCTCCGATCATAAAATATATGCATGAGTTAGTCACGCACGTGCCCTGCTTCTCCATCTTGATCACTCACCTTTCTATTAAGATATCTTCTAGCTACACATATGATGTAATGTTCATTTACTAATGGGGAAAATAAAATGAAGAGCTATATTGGAATTTGGAACACGTCCCTTCTAAGTGTGAGGAATGCTGGGGATACATATGATGAGAAGTGATGGAGAATTGTGTATCAAGATATAGTCCCACTTAATTGAATAGCTCCTATTTATAACCGATAAGGGGGCAGCCCGGGGCAGCGTGCAGGGTCCACAACAATTTATGTATATACTTAATTAGCTAATTCGGTATTTTGTTCTAATTTAGATGTAACAATTCGTTTGAGTTTCATGTCAGTCAATATGCAATTTAACCATTACGTAGTAATATATATTTCTCGTGCTTAAATAAATGCAACGGTCAACATTTCTCATTTTTCGAGACACAACTTTGACGATTAATATATACTCCGTATAATTCTATATTAGTAAAAAAAATTAAAAATAGATTTTGAAAATTTACAATGAGACAAATTTAACAATATTTTTTTTCATAAAAAAGTTTGACACATTAATAAATAAAACTTAGTCAAAGTACAACATGCGAATAGTGTAAATTCAACATGTTGCATTTATTTAAAAATTGAGGTACTACATCCGTCCCAAATTGATTTGCAAAATTGACTTTTCTTGGTTAAACAGTTTTGTTTTGTTCACTTAATTAGGATGTCAATTTCTAATTATATTCTAATTTGGAGTTTACAACTTTGAAGAGATTTTAATGTAGATTATGAATACGTAAATTTTAATTATTAAAAATTAAATTAGTTATTCCTAAGGAGAATTGACTTTTATTATTGATTGACAAAAAAATATTGACTTTGCAAAACAAATTGGGACGGAGGACTTGAATATTTCCCATATTACTATTTGATTTGCTATCAGGAAGAAACAAAACATTCAACATAGTTTCAATTCACAGCGGTTTTCCTTATATACTCCGTAACTTTAATAAACAAAATAACGTGTATTATTAGTGCAAAATAATAATGAACAAAATAACGTCACAATAGAGTGTCAAAAGTGCAAAATTCAAAACTTGAAACTATAATGAAGGTAATTTGTAAATTAGTGAAATTCATATAAATACTTGATACATGCGAATAGTATTATGGGCTAACCTATACTAGCTGATTTAGTGAAATTCATACAAACTATAATGAAGGTAATTTGTAAATTAGTGTAATTTGTGACAACTTAGCTTGTGAGGGAATGAGGACAGGCGAATAGTATTAAGGGCTAACCTATACTAGCTCCGACCCTCCCAAAATTTCAATTTTTTAAAATCAATGAGGTAAAAGAATCGCGTAAAAATATCGTCCTGCCTTTTTCACTAAATGAATGAACATATGATACGGAGTATTCCGTATAATATACAGATAAAGAAGCTAAGCGCTGTGCTTGATAGGATAGGCAGACGAGCTGAGGGCCGTGATTTAAAGTTAATTAAATGAGAAAGATTAGCATCAAATGGTCCCCTACAGAATGGCACACTCAGACTGTAGTGTGAAGAAGCAAGCTAATTAAGGACCACTCTGGACTGGGTTTAGACTATTATCATAACTCCTAATTAAGCTGCAAGTCTAGACCGCAATAGCTTTCCATTATTTTTTATAGTACAAAAACTATTGTTACACATTTTTTGTACACTTACAAACTCGTGTATGTGAAGTGTTTTTTTTGTCTGTATACAGACACAACGCATTTGAAGTATCTGTAACATAAGTTGTGTTTGTATACAGACAAAACAAAACATTTCACAGAAACGAGTGTGTAAGTGTGTGTACAAAAATGTGTACCTCAAGCCCGGTTGTTTTATAGTTTGCTTGTGTTGAACACCCCTGAACTGTTTGAGTGTTCAGCCATAAATGACGCGCTGCTCCCCTATTTTTGCTGTCGCATGCTGTCATTGCATATATTCTAGTACCTTACCCACAGGGATGGCTACGTAAATCAGGTGTTCGAGTAGTGGAAAAGTTGAGTTAAATGTATACATTTGTCCAAGATTTTTTTGCCAGAAATTTGAATAAAATCTCAATTCGAAACATTTATATATAGTTAAGATACCGTTTTGATTCATTTAAGAGTTAAGGTACCAAAGTGCAACATTATCAATAGTTAAGGTACCATTTATGTCTTTGACCCGGAAAAGTTGGATGAATGAATAATTATCAAAACTTGTAATGGTCGTGTATATATGTGGAGGTTACAGCTCTTGTGTGCTAAGCTAGTGAGCTGGATCTCTGGTATGCACGGGTACAATGTTTGTTGTCATTGGACTGACTGAGTCATATTGATTTACAACTTCCAAAATATTTTGTAGGATCAGAGCATGAGGAGCCTTTGGGGTTGCGGATTCAACCTTTGGAAAAATATATCCTAGGTAAGTTGAACAATAACCCCTATAGTCCTATATAATCATCACAAAAAGTTGTGTTTATTCTCATTAGAAAAATAATTAAGCGTCTGTTTGCAACAGCTTCTGCTTTAAAAAAAGTGCTTTTTTTAATGAAATGAGGAGAAGTGATTAAATAAAAGTTGATAGTGTTTGAGAAAAAAGTGATTTTGAAAAGTAAAAGTGGGTAGTGTTTGGTAAAATAAGTGCTTTTTATGTAATAGAAAAAGTAAAAGCACTTTTGATGCGGAAGCCGAGAAAAATAAAAGTTGTAGTGTTTGAGAAAATAAGTGCTTTTTTAAAGCCAAAAGCTGAGAAGTGCTTTTTTAAAAGCGGTTGCAAACCAACCCTAAGAGGAAATCACCCAATTAATAAGACTAGAACATGGAGAAATTGTAACAATGAAGTCACCTAATTAATAAGACTATAACAGTTAGAAAGTGTAAAATAAAAGTAATGCTTTTTCCACTTCATCGGATATATACGCATGAGTAAACTTGAGTCATGAGTGCCAGATCAGATATACTGTGTTCTAAAAGAAATTATCCAAAATGGGACTAAAACATGGAGTAAACTCCAAAGTGGGACTTCATGTTTTCTATTACCTAAATAGGACTCCAGATTACACTTTTACCCTTCCTCTAATTAAACCCAATATCGCCGCCTCTCTCCGCTCTGTGTGTGACTTCTTCCGCGTATCTGCAATTTCTCCCATCGATGCGGCTGCTTTCCCGATCTAAGCTGCTGCTCTTCAGATCGGAGCCGCTGCAATTCTTCCACCGGTGCAATTCTCCTTCCAAGCTTTGCTCCCATCTCAATCTTGATCTTTGAAGCCGCCTACCCTGCAGTCCAAATATGGTCTGCTCAACTATCTCTCACCAACACTTACCAAAAGGTGCAACGGGGGGAAGTTCCCTATTTCAAATAGCAGGTAATCTTCTTCCTCCTTCCTCTTTCTCTTCTTCTCATGCTTCTCATCTTCTTCAATATCCTCTGTTTTCTTCTTCTTCTTTGATTGTGAATTTTATTTATTTATTGATTTTGATTAATCTGAAATTTAAGAATGCCATAAAATTAATAATATTTACAAAAATGTCAATTTTATGGCATTGCACCTATTAAAATGACAGATTTTTTTTACAAACAATTAGAAAATGTCACCTTTATGATATTACATTTATCAAGATAACAGTATGTCATGAAACTGACATTGTTACTCAAACAACTGACACTTTAAATATGTCATTTTTGTTTCAAAAATGTCATGAGAATGACATTATTACTTTTTTGGAGATGTCATTTTCTTTTTTGAACTGTCATTTTGACAAATGTAATGTCATAAAAGTGACAATATTATAAACTCAGTGTTAGATTAAATATCAATTATGGCATTTTTATTGAAGTGATGAGAACAATTATATGAATCTTTTAAAATAAATTAATCAGATTAATAAAAAATGAAAATCCAAAAGAAGAAGAAAATAGAAAATTTGTAGAAGAAGACAAAATGGGGGGATTGAGAGGAAGTAGAGGAGAAGAAAAAGATGATGATGAAGAAACTTACCTAGGCAGAGCCATCCGTCCGTCGCCAGCGATGTTCACTGCACGCAGCTAACATTCATCGCAAAGTAATCCGTCCGCACTAACAAGGCTATTTGTGTCCCAATACAAATAATTAGTCCTATTTAGGGAATATAAAACAATATGTCCTATCTTTGCAATTACACCTTCTTTTACTCCTATTTAGGGAATACTCTCGTGTTCTAATTTATACTACGTATAACATATACTATCTTGATAACCAGCAATTTGGCATGATGACATTACCAAATTACAAACATCGGGTCAAATTACTATCATCAAACAATAACGTCATTGGGACCGTAGAACAAATGCCATCTTGATAACTAGGATTAAAAATGTCATCTCAATCGTTGGAAGAAAGAAAAATTTCTTAAGTGGGAGTAAAAATGGTAAAATATACATATAGAATTATCATTATTTTATTCTCAAAACGGATATATTCATGACTCATAATGGACTAGTTTTATGCTCTGATAATAGAACCAAATAAATCTGGGTATAGAACATAACTAATTTTAAATCTACACTTTGTCTGAATTACACTGGTCTATTTGGAGCAATTTCTTTGAGAGGAAAGTAATGTACAAAACAATGCAATCTCGAGTTCTCGACAGTGGAAAGTGAGTTAACATGCACATATGCACTATATATATATATACGTAGTATATACTAGCCTGATTAGGTACTTCGGAGTATTATATTTACATTACATAATGATGACAAATTCTAAATATGAGCATATCGGTCATAAAACGATAATCAAACATAAATGCTCATTTATATTAAGACAATTTCAATTCTTAAAAATTAAAACTATAGAGAACTAAGAAGATAACACAGAAAGAGCGAAAAATTTTAATTAGAAGACTTATTTTAGACGGACATGTATGATATAAAGGGGCTAAGACAATCATGAACCTAACAACTATAAAAGGAATCACTTTAGAGTATGAAGATGTGGGAAGGAAATGTCGCCTATTTGGATGAACAGTTGAACACTCATCCTCAAGTCTCTCTTTTGTTAAAAAAAGGTTCAATTCCTATCAAGGGAGATGAGCACATGGGCGGAGTTAGGGGAGGGCCATCCCTGGCCCTGGTCCAGCCCAAATTTAAAAAATACTTGTATTTTCAGTGTAAAATATTTTGTGTAAAAAAAATTTCAAA